GCGACCGCTTCTGAAGGTGCGGGAAGGGTCTGGGTGCTGAAACGTCTGTTTGCGTTCCCGTACCTACAGTATTTTGACTGTTTTTTCTGCTGATCTGACTCGGCAAGGGTTTCCGTGGCGGGCAGGTTGTGCGTGAGCCAGTCAGAGAGACGATGTCCGTGGTGCAAGTGCAAACCAGGGTGCTGTCCAGAGGGGCTCGTGACGCTGGATTCGTCTCAGATCCACCTATTTTTGCTGGGATTGGCTCCAATTCCTCTAGTTACCTCTGGGCTGGTGACCTGCCATGTATCTTTATCTTTAGCTCTAGCAAGCAAAAACTGTTCTGCTGTAGATGTTGCTGTTCTCATCACACGGCCTGAAAGCAACCCTTTTTCCTTCTTCTTTTCTGTTTTCCCCGCGCGGTCGTGCACCGCCTGGCCGTGGCGTTAACATCTGCTGTTCAGCTTTCAGCTGAGCCCATTTGAAATGGGGCCTGGGGCTCGGTGCCCTGCCGCCCTCCTCCTCCCTCTCCTCCGCCTGCTGCCTGCTCTTCCCCCGACTGTCCTCTTACCGGATCTCTTCTGACCCCTTTCCTGCGCTTGCTGTCGCCTCTTCAGGATTTGAACGTGTATATCCTGCTAAAGGGAAAAGTCTTCGAAGTCATCAGGCGTTTTGAAACACGCACCGAAAGCGGGCAAGGAAAGCAGGTTGGCCTTGGGGCGTGTGAGTGCTTTTACAGGTGTCGGGTGTCCGAGCTCAGGTTGAAACAACCCAGATCTCCTTTAGGCAAGTTGTGTTTATTTTGGTGTTGCGTACAACACGTGAATTAATTGATGGCTATCAATTAAGTGACGAATCGTGGGTGGTTTCTGAAGATGTGAGTTAAATGGCTTGGGAAGCAGCTCGCTGACCGCGGCAGCTGCTGACGTGCCATCACCAAGGCAGGTTCGCAGCTCCTCCTCGGTTCGTTAAACGCAACGACTTGAGCTGAAAGTTTCAATGCCACGCCTGGGCCCTTTGGGGAAGTTGCAGTTAATGACAGCTGTTCCTGGGAAAGATTTGAAGAGAATGCGTTTTTCTGATCGTATTAAATTTCTGAAAGTTTCATGTTGTTTGTGCGGAACACTTCCCTGCTTTGAAAACCAGACTTGAAATATTGCTCCGCTGTAGATTGCCTTCAGCTGAAACTCGTTTTCCCGCGTGGTCCTGCGTGCCCGGCGAGGTTGGTGTTTAGCGGCAGGCGGCTCGTATCGCGGCCGGCTGCTCGTCGGAGCTGGAGCCCGGGCCGAG